CGCTGACATGGGCGGCGAGCGGGCGCGCCGGTCGCTGCTGGCGGCGCCCGCGGGCCTGCTGCTGCTGCTCGGCCTGCTCTGGCCAAGGGGTAAGCTGCCTACCCCACCTTCATCCCGGCTACTGATCGTCATTGCGATATCTATATTTTAAATCAACGAACGGTGCAACGGCAGTGCATCATCGCCTAATAAGACATAAATTACAAATTCGATTAACTATATGCATGTATGTATACAGTATAATATAGAAATATAAAAAAACCAGTTTCGCTTATAAAACACACATGATACTGAAAACCTAGGTTATGTCACACATACTTATCTTCAACTCATCACAACCTTATCTTTACATTTTTCCAACTTATAAAGAATCGGATTTTCAAGAAAATCCTTGTTTTCAATTAAAACTCGATTTACGTAAAAGTTTCTAAACAAACGATTCATTTGTGTTCTACCCAGACCATTTAGCGTTATTTAGTGAGCTTTCGCCTCGTTACGTGCGTCGACACGTTCGGGCGTTACGTAGGGCGAGTGCCTGGTCACGTACAAAACATCAAGGATTTCGGCGCTCGTACCACGAGCGGCAAATTTGCCCGCAAATGCCCTTAGACAGCACTTGATTGAGAACAGCTTCAGATAACATAACGAGCGCCAACGAGCGGCCAAGAGCAGCCGAGAGCCCCTCAAAGTGGATAATGAACCGCTGAACATGTCTAGTAGCCCGATTTGTAATCAAAGGGAGAGCCATCAAGAGTTACATTGTTGTTCCCGTGACATTCACCTGCCATAAAAGACTGTGACGTAGCTTTGTTAAACTGACTACATAATATCGCCATTTCGATACTATTGTGAGTACGTCCCTGACAATTTAAGTTTGTTCGGATCAGTTTTATTCACGATCTTCTTTTGTTTATTTAACAACACATCTATTCACATCATTTCGTGAGCAGAGGCCTTATTATAGAACAATCGCTTGTATTATTATCTAACTGTATATTTATAGTAACTGCTACACAGGCTTTGTATTACATTCTATAAAAAATCATTCAATATACCTAGCAAAGTAAATTAAATTTAATAAATTAATAAAATATATTGGCATTGTAAAGAATAACACCTAAAGTTTTTTTCCTCTCGATGATAATTAATTAGTATTTAATAAATGACCAATCGAGAGTAGTTTTTCAATAAAATGAGTCATGTTGAATTTGAATTACAAACTAATTAAAAAGATTTTGAGTAAGTTGTACAAATTATGCTTCAACATAGATGACTTGCGCTCGTTGAAGTCTTTTGTAAGAAACTCTTGTTTAGACCAGATTTTGCAAGCAATCATTATTTATTATTAAAACTTGTTTTACAAAAACAATATAAATTAGGCCGTTTTAAGCAACCAGTCTATATACGGTATTAGAGACACCAATCATACTTATTACACCTAGGTTTACAAATAAACATTTATAAACCGTATCTTGAATACACAAAAATATTTCTTGGGCACTGTTACTTGAATTACAAGTTCGTCAATTAATAACTCTTGTAAACCTGCATAGTTACATAATAAATAAATAAATACATACATGCACATACGTTGCACCCATCTCAAAAGTAAGTAAAGCACTTGTGTTATTGAAATCGGAAACAACGACGGTACCATAAACACGCAGACTCGGGACAATATAGAAAAGTTAGTTTATCTATATTGACCAGGCCCGGCATCGAACCCAGGACCTCAGAAATGACGACACTATGAAACTGGTCTGCAAGCTACTCGACCACAGAGGTCATCGACAATGAGTTCCAGTTATATACATTTAAGGCAGTGTACTGTATAGGCAAATATATTTGTTGATATATTATAACATATTTGTAATAAACACTTTTTAAACACACATTGTATGCTTGTATTCAATACTAAGTAGCTCTTACAACTCCTGGCTTACATGTAGTAAATTAAAATCGAAAATTGTTATGTAGAGTGTGTGTACTTATTACCCACCTAATTACAAGCCTACCTGCAAACTTTAGTATCTATTATAAACCAAAAAAAAGTTGCGTCAGCGTATACTTTTACACTTTTTTGTTAGGAGCTTGCGGCGGCCTCCACGAAAAGAGGTTATTGCACCACCTGCTGGACCACTACAACGTGCTGGAGCGGCCGGTGGTCAACGAGAGCGATCCGCTGCAGCTCTCCTTCGGCCTCACGCTCATGCAGATCATCGACGTGGTATGTACCTCCGTTTAGCTTTTCTCTTGTCTCAGACCACCTGCTCGTCATTATATGATGCTTAAGTGGTTGAAGGTAATCAATCGGTTGCACGACTACGTAAATTATTAATGCGATACAAACAACGGCACGTCTTCCGTTGCGCCTATTTTTAATTTAACTGTTTGTCACTAAAGATAATGCGAAAAAGCCAATGCTTAATTTTACAGTACTAATAATAGCATGGCAGTTCACTATATGGTCATGAAAAAATATATAAAATTTTACACAATGTATGTTGTACAAATTATACAACATAATACATGACATGTGTGTAAAGTTACGATGCTATTTTGTTTTTTTTTTGAGCCAACGCTACAATTGAGATCTGCAACAAATAATTACCGTCTTGTATTTCTACATTACTGTCGCCTTAAGGATATTAAAATTAATAAATTACTTTGTAAAACGAAATTAAATGTGTAACATGAAAAATACAATTCTAACATCATAAATTATTTCGCAGGACGAGAAGAACCAGCTACTAATAACTAACATCTGGCTTAAACTAGTAAGTGCTTTCATTTATTTTTATTAATTGTATAGTATTTATTATAAGTTGTTAAAAAATAAAAAAATTCAAATTGTTAGGCCTTCGCAATAACTACACTTGAAACAATTTTTTTTTAATCTAAAATCGTGTACATTTGTATTTTCAAACAAATCAACGTTTTGGGGCACTTTACAAGTCCAATGGTCATAGCTGACTGATAGCTTACGCATATACATTTTATATATATTCATAAAAAAGTACGAAAATCGGTAGTAAAATACATAGTAAGTTATATTCCTAAACTTAAATGTAACATTTCATGGTGTTCCTTAAAATTAGAATACTATGTCACGAACAAGGAATTAATCCTTCCAAATAACCCTAACGATTGACATCATAAAAGTACAAGATATTTTTTCACCTTTTTAAAATCTTTTAATGCAATTAATATTAAATTAAATATTACACACCATCACATAGGTTACTCTGATCAAAAGTAAATAACTAAAGCACTTGTGCTATAGAAATCTGAAACAACGACGGTACCATAAATACCCAGATACGAGACAATATAGAAAAGTTAGTCTTCAGAGATGACGACACCATGAAAACCGGCGTACAAGCCACTCAACCACGAAGGTCGTCAATATTACATATTTAAAAAAATAAAATGTTTCCATGATGCAAATATCTTAACTACAACTAATATTTAAATAATTACTAAAAATACTTTCCGTGTCACACATCATCATTATTATTAGAAAAACATATATATATATATATATATATATATATATATATATATATATAAGCAAATTCTGAGCACCATACGATCTAAAATAAATGGTTTTAATGGTTTAAATGATTTAAACGAGTTGCGTTGAAAAAAACTATCATAGACAACTTCGGGCAGTTTCAATTGGAAGTTGTAGCGAAAGTGTTGGTGCTAGGTTACCTACGAAGAACGTAAACGTAACAGACTCTATATAATCTCCACAAATAATAGTAAAAGAAGTTTTCACCAATAAATGCTTGTACATTTGCATCCCAGAGGCGATCAGGAACGTTTACATTGATAATATTAGTTACAACATCATAATTTTCGTAGTAATGAATCTAAAAAAGGAGGACGTTCTCAACTGAACTGAATTTTTCTGTGTAATCGCGATTACTTCGACATTTGTGAACCTACCTATTTATGCCGCCAAGCAGTAATGTGAATTAATGTGTTTCGGTTTTGAAGGGCAAGGCTACTCATGAAATTACAGGCACATGGAATTTGTCAACTTATGTCTCAGGGTGACAAGCACAGTAGCAGTGTCCGTCAGGTTTTTGCGATTTAAGGCACTGAGTGGCACAGTTCGTCCTGTCACGTGGTATTATAAAAAAGTTATATCAATATTTTTTTTTGTTGGAAGGGGAATACTTCTGTAGTGATTCTATTCAAATTTGAAGAAAATATTCCACCTCTTGGCAAATTAGGGGATGAATCCAGTTTATTGGATTCCACCCACATTCCGTTCCAATTGACCCTAACGATTGGCGTCATAAAAGTTCAGGATGTTTTTTTTCACCTTTTTCTTGAAATATTTTAATGCAATTACACAACATTATACAACATCACATAAGTTTCTCTGATCCCAAATTAAGTAACTAAAGCAACACAAGTTATATGTTATAGAAATCGGAAACAACGACGGTACCACAAATACCCAGACACGCGACAATTAGTCTTCAAAGATGGCGACGGCGAATTCACCCATTATCTTATTATTTTGGAATATTACTGTCGAATATTTCTTTTACACTTCCCTTATATTTTAAACTCTATCCATCTGTTTTTGCGGAAACACCCGCCTACATATGTTTTTCTAGAAATAGGTACATATACCATAATAAATTTTAATAACAATCCATCAAATTGGACAATGAAAAAACTTAAAGTAAAAATTCCCCTGCTCATTGTATAGCTTTATTTGTGATATCGAATGAAGGGACGAACAAGTCGTGCGTCTGATGGTAAGTGACACGCCTGACACGTCACACTGTCCATAGCAGTTGCAGTGCCACTCAGAGCTTTAATCGCAAAGTTTTGCAGGGCACTGCCACTGCGCCTGTCGCCCTGAGCCACAAGTTGACAAGTTGACAAGTTCCATGTGGCTGTAATTTCACCAGCGCACTTCAATTCAAAACAGGAACGCAATAAGACTCACATTACCGCAGATATACGTAAGATGGCAATACTTTTCGGGACGAACTATTTCAGAAGAACCTCTACTGCTACTAAAATGTGGCTGAGATCCATGCACTAGCAGGGAAAAGAGCTATGATCTTTAAACGTTGAGCAAATAGTCCTCAAATGTGGCTAAGAACTGTCTTAGTCAAACCAACCTTCTAATAAAATACCGATTAGTCCATCCGTTAGAGAGGTACGATGCCTGACAATCATAATGACACACGCAGATAAAAGCTTTAAACTTATAACACCCCTCTTTTTGCGTGGGAGTTAAGTATGTCTATTCTTGATTTTTATAACACTGCCATAATACAATATGGTAATGGTATAATGACGTCCTTATGTGCTATAAAAATGGCTCTTGTTGATCCCACGTGCACTTAAAGACTGTGATAAGACAAAGGGTATATGGATATACATCTGTAAATGTATTCCTTGTATATATTACAAATAAATGTTTTGATCAAAAAAACGTGCACATGTTCCCACAGTCCGATAGGCTAAAAAATTTGCGTCCACATCAAACATGGGTTACACCAGATTAGGCCCCCCCCCCCCCCTACTTCAAGTAAAATAAATTTACAAAGTAAATTTAATTCACTCCGGTCCCTTTTCAATGACGGCAAACATTTAGAATAAAATACCAAAATATATGTAGACAGAAAATAATATAGATAAAAATTATTTTTGTTCTAAATCTTTCATTCGGTTTTAAAATAAAATAATTTCGTATATTTGCAAGAATTGTTAAAATAGAATTATTTGATATATAAATATAATCTAATCATGAATAAAGGGCAACAATAATTAATTAATAATATGAAACATAAAAATAAATTAATAATGAGAATAGTAATGTAATGTGAACAACGACCATAAATAAATGAAATAAACATTTTTTTTTTTTAGTTTAAGTTTGTATTTTATATTAGACAGAAGTTTCTTTCGTTTTAAACGATGTACGGACAACAGCACATCAGACTAGACGTTTTTGTTCGAAAATCGCCTCCAGTGCAACGGAACAAGATATGTCAATGTGTAGCTTGATGTGCTGTTGACTGATGATAATAGTAATGTTTATTATATTGCGGTACCCTACTACGACTCATGTGTAGGCACTGAATATTTTTAAATATACACCATATCTATATAGTCTGTCTTTTTTGAGGATAAAGTAAAATTACATTTGCAGAGTTTCCAGTTTAAATAAAATTTTAATAGTCATGTAGTTGTTGTCGACAGTTTTATCGATACATTGCGAAAGAAGGTAAAATTTTCCCATAAATGACTCAATAGTGAACGTTATGATGTTCTAAAGATTACTTATTGCGTACTCTATTTGACAGTTGACCTACTAGTAATGAAATCAATATTTTATTCATATACATTTTGATAAGCAGGCAGCCGAATTCGAATATGCATGTTGGATTAATTAAATAAAAAAAATTTAATATAAATTTAAAAACTTTAAAATATGTCTTCTTTTTGCATTTTAGTAGATATAGTTCTGAGTGTATGCATGTATGAACTTCATCTTATCGTATCGATGACATACACTATACTATTGTGGCCCAGAACTCAGCCACGCCGACAGCGTCACGAGGAGCCGCCATTAAATCCTCGAGCGTGCAGGTGCAGGTGGGCCATAGTTTGAGTCGCACCGCACAGACAGTCCATGTTACAACTGAGTCCGAAGCCTAGCCTAAAGACCCTAGATAGGCCATGGTAATTCGTGTCCAGAAGGAACTCTCAGAAAGCGGGATAAACAAAGTACAAAAACTGACATTCATATGAACCTTTGCCCAGCAATTGAACGATTAATGGGCCGGTGATCATTCTAATGAAACAAGTTCAGCTATTTATTGCGTAAACGTAACCAACAATCAGTTAATAGTCGATAGCATATTTATCGACTGCAATCACTAGCTGCTTGCAAGCGGGCAACACTTTTACGCAGTGAACTCTCATTTACTTAATCTTTAAAAAAGACAGACTATGTCACATCATGCTATAATAAATGCCTTATACTTAAAAATATTCTTATGTTTACTACTAACTGATAAAAACGCAATAAGATAATTACATAAACATCTACAGTACATATATCTACATAAATACACTGTGTGAGTGCCTAATAAACGATGTGTGCTCAGCCAATTAAGTTATTACTTTATCCATTACTCACACTGTTTGATAAGGAGCGTCGCGTTATACGTGACTTTACTGAACAAACAAACGACCTCGACGGACTTTATGTATTTAATACTTATTGTAGGTAATTATGTTTCATCCGTTTCTGTCGGAAAATGGCCTTTTAAACGGGGATAAATTTATTTCATTTTAATTTAATCTAATACAAGTAAAACAAATGTAAAGGAAGCTATGATAATGTTAAAATAAACAGTAAAAAAGGAACGTTAAAGATTCTACAATCTCCATGAAGCATTAGAACTCTAGTGTAACCTAAACTAAGTAAATGAGTACCTGTATTTATTTACTTAGTTTAGTTATCGCAACTACTAAGGATGGGACCAGGGAAAGTATACACTGCCCATTTGATTTAGTGCCAATATATACTCCCGGACAGATAATTCGAGCCACCTCGCATTTTTGTCGTAAAGGGCTAGAATACAAAAATGGTATTGTCATCGAAGAAAAAGTTTTCCTCCGGTTTTGCAAATCCAAATTTCCAACAAGGACTTATGGAAAAGACTCTTCAAAATTGCATTAGAGTTTTAGAGCAATCAAACATTGTTTAAGCTTAGGGCACTTAATACTGAAAATGCGTGGTGGCTCGAATTATGTGTCTGGAAGTGTATTATAGTGAAATAATTGTTTAAATTCACGATGTACCATGAGTCCTGATGAATAATAAACAAAAGACAACCGACTTTTGTGTAAGTAGTTCTATTTACCGAACACACGACTTACTTTGAATTGACTACTTCTTAGAATGACTTCTTCTTGGGATAGAGGTTTAACCTCCTAAAACCCAGAAAACTACAATAAGCAAAACGCTAAACGGCCAATATACAATATGTATTAAATATAATTACCTACATGCTTTGTATGAAAAAACGTATTTTTCGGTCTGGAAACATAGACCCTATGGTCATTATAGAATATATACTGGTGAATTTGAATGCGATATTTTCATTACAATGTATACTAGGCGTTTACGTGAAGTAGCAGTTAGAGCTCTTGTTGAAAGAGTTCATCCAAGGAAGTACTGCGACAAGTACTATGAGCGTTACTGTGTGACGATGTGACCTCCTACCATCGTCATTCCACCTGTTTATCGCCTTTTCTCCAGAGAAAAAGAACCAGTTCCTGGCCATTTGTTTTCAAATTTTGAATCTTTCTTTAATTCCTTTGCCAAGGCATCCTCATTTTGTTTCGTTCCGTCATCACTCTCTGCTCAATCGCTGTAGCGAGCAGTGCTGGTCGTGTAATTTGACCCGTATACCAGTTACCAAAAATCTCTTGTGCGATAAACATTTAAAAGATCACAAAAAATCTTTAAAACATTTTTTATAAAACCGGATAATTTCCACTATTTCTTTTTCCTTATGAATTTTGGACATTAAACTCGCTAAGCAAGATGTATGGAGGCTACATTACTTTCGACAGGACATGCTTAATCGGTGCCAGCAGTGCGTGACAACCGTTTCAACTGTGTTCCGGTTTTGAAAGGTGCTGGTGAAATTACAGGCACATGGGTCTTGTCAGCTTTGGTCTCAGGGAGAAGGGCGCAGTAGCAATGTCTCTCAGATCTTTGTGATTTAAAACTCTTCGTCCTGTCACTGGTATCATAAAAAAACGTGATCATAGGAATAATATTGTCTGGATATACATGACGAACGAAATTAACCTTATAACTTACAAATGATGGAGACTTATAAATGTCATATACATATACATAATTTGTTTCATGCAGTTCATATTAGAACTTTTGTCGTATAATCACATATGGTTTTATTATACTAAGGGCACGAAGTAAGGGATTTAGTGTTTTAAGTTGATTCGGGTACACACAAAGTAAACTTAATAATACCTACAAGTTGATTGCTTCTCTCTGTCCTTTCAACATCATTATGTATATAGTATGAGTAGTGATTCAGACATTATTCCTATGATCACGTAAACGCCCTGAGTAATAATATAATGAAAATATCACATTCAAATTCAGCTCTGCATGTTGAATGAATGAATGATAAGTTTATTACTCTCACAAGGCTTACTTATGACTTAAATACAGAGTTTTGTTACTGTTATGTACATTGTGAGAGGCTGATGTCAGTACTAGGGTTGTTATTCCTGTATGAGTAATCAATTCTATGTTCTATGTGAGCATGTGGTATATCTTAAAAAATACGTTATTCATACAAAACTGAGAGCATACTGGCTAGGGCTTGCAGCATGTAATTATATTTCGTACATTTTAATGAACATTGAGCATTTAGCGTTTTTCCCATTATAGTTTACTGGGTCTTAGGAGGATATTGTCGTCATGAAGAAAAATATAGAAAAGTAGTCGACGACAAAAGACTCTTCTAATATTTTAAGCTGCATACTTTCCCCATGACGTGTAAAATAAGGAGGTGTTAAATTGTGAGACTAGATGTGGGCCTTGCATACATTTTATTATTATACTAAAAGATATTTTTTATTCGTTCAGGAATGGAACGATATGAACTTAAGATGGAACACATCCGACTTCGGTGGTGTAAAAGACTTGCGGGTGCCTCCACACAGGCTATGGAAACCAGATGTCCTTATGTACAACAGGTAACACGTTCCGAGAGTTCAATGAAATCCACCTTCTAGTCGCTCCGCCGCATGACAGAGTAAAGGTCTCCAGCCGTTTTAATAAAGGATGTTAAAAAACCAAACAGTCACTTTATGAGGTGTATATACTTTACTTGACATATCCTGGAATTGAGGAAACTGTTTCTTTTCCGACAATCAGTTAAACTTTTTCATTTCGTAGTAGAAAACATCTATATTTCATTTATAATTAACAAGTATTTGTTAATTGTGAGGTCAAACCGCTTTTTTATCATTAAATAACCGATTTAATAATTATTAATACACAGATCGAACACTTAGAAAAAAATCCTTCGATCCGGCCGAATTCGAACCGACGTCTTCTAACAAACCGTGCCAAACGCTATGCCAACTAAGCCACGGAACGAACCAGCCGACCTCACGAATTCTTCTATATGCTTGTTATCGTATCTTTCTATTTGATTTTTCAACGACTTTTTAGCCGGTGAAGGAATTTTTTCGTGTATTCGATTTTTGAATTAACAATTATAACAAACTAGTGGAGTAATTTCACATAAAAAATAATTGAATATCAATGCAATAAAAATGTAAATCGATTAAATGTTTGAAAAATCTTTCAAAAATCAATTGTAACTAGGTCTTACAGTACTTATATATCAAAACTGACGTATAATAATAAGAACAAATAAATATTAGACAAAGTCACATACGTTGCTCTGATCCTAAAGTAACTAAAGCAGTTGTGTTATGGAAATCAGAAACAATGACGATACCACGAACACCCAAACCCGAGACAATATGGAAAAGTCAGTTTTTGTATATGGACCCGGCCAAGGATCAAACCGGACCTTCGACAACATAGCGACACCGTGAAAGTCGCAAGCCACTCAACCACGATACCATAGTAGACCAACGGCTACCTAATTTATCAACTATTAAATAACTTATATTAAATGTAAACCTAGAAGTAAAGATATCCTATTCAAAAATGTATATATAGCAACTACACAATATTTGTAATTCAAAGTTAATAAAAATACCGTTTTTTGATATGAGCTTCCGGTGTAGTAAAGACCTATGCCGGTTCCACTTGTGAAGACGGCCTGTAAACCATTGATATGAAATGCCAAAACGAATGGTCAGTCCTCCCTAAAGAACATTTCCCAACATCCGTCGAATAATAACCATAAACTTTCCGTTGGTTTATTAAATATTTCTTTTTATAAAGCGCGGACGAAGGTTTCGACAGCACGTACCCGACCAACGTGGTAGTAAGGAACAACGGCTCTTGCCTGTACGTGCCTCCGGGCATCTTCAAAAGCACCTGCAAGATCGACATCACCTGGTTCCCTTTCGACGACCAGCGCTGCGAAATGAAGTTCGGCAGCTGGACTTATGATGGATATCAAGTAAGAGCTAAAAGACGTTTGAAAACAAACATATACCTTGTAGCTACAAGTCATAATAATATTGATGTATTAAATACTGCTAAGTGTGACCACAAATATCTACACGTCATGCCATTGTCATATTAGTATTAAGTTAACAAAGGCTATCACGGAATTTTGTAATATTATATTTCAACTATATATTTTGTACTGTGTGCAACAAAATAAATGTTGACTTCGTTTGTCATAGTTGGACCTTCAACTTCAAGACGAAGCGGGTGGAGATATAAGCAGTTTTGTCACAAATGGCGAATGGGAACTTATTGGTAAGCAAATGCAAAATACCATTGTTTTTTTTCGCTGATGTAAATATGTATAAGTGAAATTTTATAAAAAGTATTTATACCCCTGGGTCTTCCTTCTCTAATTTTTTTTTTAATGTTTTTTAACATTAAGTTCATCTAATGACTCAATCGACGAAAAGAAACTAGTATGGTTATTTTGATCCCTACAGGTGTACCAGGCAAGCGCAATGAGATCTATTACAACTGCTGCCCAGAGCCGTATATTGACATCACATTCGCGGTGGTGATCCGGCGGAAAACGCTCTATTACTTCTTCAATCTAATTGTGCCCTGCGTGCTCATCGCCTCTATGGCGCTATTAGGCTTTACGCTGCCACCGGACTCTGGAGAGAAACTTTCTTTAGGTGTGTAATTATTGTATCCATTTTAATTTTGGCCTCCAATTGGTTACACTTTTTAGTTTTATTTACAGAAATTTTCTTTTTTAGCAAGTCGATTAAATCACTCCATCTGAACACAGCCGAACATAGTCTTATTAACTGTATTACATTCGCCCATTCATGCTATTTTGATTTTGGAGCAATGTTCTTAATCATTCGTATTTTGTTCAGGCGTCACAATCTTACTGTCGCTGACAGTGTTCCTCAATATGGTGGCAGAAACGATGCCTGCAACTTCCGATGCAGTGCCTTTACTGGGCACCTACTTCAATTGCATCATGTTCATGGTGGCCTCCTCTGTGGTCTCCACGATACTTATCCTCAACTACCATCACCGACACGCAGACACGCACGAAATGAGCGATTGGGTAAGTGACTGAGTATTTGAAACATTCTTTGCGATATTTGTAGCGTCCACTTAAAGAATTGTTTTCCGTCAGATCCGTTGCGTATTCCTATACTGGTTACCGTGGATCCTGCGCATGTCAAGGCCGGGCTCGGCAGCAACACCACCACCGGCGCGCGCGCCCCCTCCGCCTGACCTGGAATTGCGCGAACGATCCTCCAAGTCGCTACTAGCTAACGTGCTTGACATCGAGGACGATTTCCGCCACGGCGTGCCGCCGCAGCAGCCCGCCTGCTGCCGATACTACAGGTCCCTCGACGATCTACACGAACACTACTCGCCGTAAATAGCACGGTTACGATACTATAACCCTGCCTCGAACGTTCCGCAAATACACCCGACCAAAACAGCTTTAACATTGACATCATGATAGAACTCGATGTATTCAAATCACATAATCTTGAAATTCGAACGCAGTCTTATTAATATTAAGAATTCTACAGTCTTCTTATCATACGAGCATAACTCCAGTAGAACCCTCCGTTCCTCGGCTCTACCTGTAGTTAGAGTGCAATGGCGAATGAGAAACTACAGAGCATATCTGTTACAGGGGGGCTGAAGAGAACGGCGCCGGACTGGCGGCGCATAGCTGTTTTGGTGTTGACTACGAACTTTCGCTGATATTGAAAGAGATTCGAGTCATCACGGATCAGGTATTTATTCGCTCAAAGTAACTTCGTAGATGCACTTTGTAGATGCAATTTAGCTGTCTATAACGTTAGTGTTTTTGTCACAGATGCGCAAGGATGACGAGGACGCGGACGTTTCGCGCGACTGGAAGTTCGCCGCCATGGTCGTGGACAGACTGTGCCTTATTATCTTTACCCTGTTCACAATCATCGCTACGCTAGCCGTGCTACTGTCCGCACCACACATCATGGTGTCGTAGCGACCCGCCCGCTTGCGGCTGCGCATGCGTAACGTTCTGTGATACAGCATAAATACTTGTTAAGTTGTGATGTGCGAAAGCGGCGCGGGCGCCGATGCCGCGTTTCTAGGGAGTTGCTTTCCGCCCGCCTCGTCGCCCGCGCCCCCCTGTAGACATAAGTAACCGCTGACTGCCAATCCTGTGCATTCAACCAAATACTGCCTATCCGACTTTGTTCTCTAAATTTTGTGATCTTGTGTCAAAGATTTTCTTCCTTCTCTTCCGAGAAAACCACGTTGGTACTTGGAGAACTGAATGCAAAAGAGCACTACTTCAGCGATGACGAGTGGTTCCAAGGAAACGGCTCTCCGTAGTCGCGATGCCTCGAAACCTTGACACGGAACCGTCGACACAAGTACGTGGCAGTAGGCGTCGGTGCCGTCCTCCATTCTGGCCAGACGCCAGGACTCCACGCTAGAATAGTCGCTATTTCATAGGCCACCTCATTACAAGGTTGGTCAATTCAAAAAATTAGCACAAAAACGTCTTCCTTCATACCGTTGAACGACCTGGTTCGCATTAAAAATTTAACTTTGTTAGAACTTCTCGAGTCTTGAAATCTATTGTACAGTTTAGGATTTGGGCAGTGAATAAGCAACGGCCCTTTGTTTCCTTCTTGTTCGATTCCGTGAATCGTGGTTATGATCCCTAATTTTATTTTCGGATGTATTTGTGTCAGTAGCTAGTATAGAACTTTACAAACAATGTTGATTCAATTGGTACAGGTTGTGATATGCCTCGTTGTGAACGGGTCGATATTGTTATAAATGGTAATATCCATGGCTATAGCTTAATAAAACGTTCGTTAAAGTTGTAGTTAACAAGTACTTATTATTTTATTAAAATCATGCCTGAGTCTTTCCGAATGACATATACAAATAATTAAAATTACATAATATTAAATTTATAAGTATACTTCTTTCCATACAATCATAGTAATTTGTCTGCAATAATGTTAGCTTTGAACAGAGTTTAACTTTTATCAAGATTTCTTAATTGTGAAAACTTATACCATCCTTCTGATTATGGTATTTATCAAATCATATGTTATTCTTATGTTACGACTATTAAAAACGGAACAGTTTTGTTATTTAAGTACATAAGTACTAATGTGCCTATAAACAGTACAACAATTCGACATTTTTTACAATTACGCGTAAAATTCGACCAGCACTAGCGCTCATCTGCCACTGTTGACGGCGAGTCATTCGTTACAGTTACATACTCATCATCCATTTCTGATCTATACATTTGTTATGACCCGTACTAACTCATTAAGTACAGCAATACGGTATTCGTTACTTTAAATTTGTCTCTGGAAAACATTGTGAACCTCTTAGAAAGAAAACGTCCGCAAAGCGGCAGAAGTCGATGCGGAGGATACATTCAACGTGTTTATGTACCCACGCATGGCTTCAATGTTTTCCTCCTTTGAGGCTTTATTGATAATCGGTGGCTGATCGATTCTAAGAGGAAGTTGCGGACCGCCTACGATTGTATTTAGCAATGTTTTTTCGGTCATCTTTATTTGTTTTTGTATAAACTCGTCTCATCGACCACTAGCGAGCGGTTGTGTGATGGCCGGCCGGCGGAGCGAGTCCCGCACTGCACCCACCTGCATGTTAGTGAATGCGGCCGTTGCAGCGCGGAGCATCGGCGCTCCGCTGGCTCAAAGGGGCGCCCCGGACCCCGTAAATTGTTCAATTTATAATATAGGAGTAATCCTCTGAATTGCACATTTATTAAATATAAACGAATGAAAACTAACGATTTTTATTTCATACCAAGAAACTTGTATTTAATTATTCATCGGAAGTTACGTAATAAAGGACGGTCTTTGATAGAATACAAAAATATTAAACAACATCACATACTTTGTTCTGATCCCAAAGTAAGTCACTAAAGCACTTCTGTTATGAAAATCGGAACAACGACGGCAACACAAACACCCAGACCTGAGACAATACAGAAAAGTTAGTTTTTTTTCATTGACCCGGCCGGGAATCGAACCCGGGACCTCAGAGATGGCGACACAATGAAAACCGGCGTACAAGTCACTCAGCCACGGAGGTCGTCAAATAAGGTAAATAGTCGATTCTTATATGATTTTTTTACCACAAGATATGTAGAATAAGAATTAAAATATTATTTTTTTTGTGAGAATGATCGTTTTCCCGTATTAAAAATGATTAGAGTAACCCTGACCTATATTCCTGGAGTCGGCAGCCCTGGCCGGAGACAATCGATGCGATCCCGAGGGATAACCGCACATGCGCACTGCTCGACACATTAAACTTATACATTGCTCCACAAAACTTCAATCGCTCGATGTAACAATTAAGTATGAAACTATCAAAATTACTGACGCGGTGCTAACAATAAACTACACGTGTGTTATTTATATTCGCATTGCTCTACATAGACATTCTCTAAATTATTTATCAATTTATTAACCAATACTAAGTAATTACGGTGATTGGATCCATCAGTTATAGAGAATAACGATGACAACGATAAAAAAACAATGATGTTCCTATTTGGAAATGACTTCAGAACCTGCACCGTAATAAATGCTCTAAGTTATCCCTGCTCTACGTGCCTTGAGCTTCAGGAAACAAAACAATTGTAGAAAAAGAGATTAAATGAGCATTAGAGGTGCAGTGGCTCAATGAACTTGCAAAGTTACACATAAACATATATAGAAGAGTTCACAGTTCATTGCTCAGTTCAAATGTTAATAACTGATAGAGCGTGTTAGTAAGACGTCAATGTAACAAGCTAACGCTCAATACTACCGCGATAAGGATTTGCAGATAGCTGAACCATTACTACATAAATACATAGCATGAGCATGGGTGTACAAAGTGCGCCCTCTATCCACTACTACGTAGCAGAAGTTCATATCGCAAACATCACATCCACAAGACATTATACATTGTTTGTTAGCTATAAACTTCGAGCCGTACGGTTTCATAGGTACGCAATGTAAAGCATACAACAGGGATGTTGGAGTCAGATTGTGATATGGCACAAACGTAGGGCGGGTGAGTGCAGGGCGGGCGGGAGCGTGCGGCAGTGCGCGCCGACATGTCGGGCGCGACGCGCGCTTGCCTGCTCGCAGCCGCGTTGCTGACCGTATTCTACTCAGGTACCATAACTAACTGACTACCCTAATTCTTTACACAATTTACAGTCTTAACTGAAAGTTAACCGTAGTTAATTTAATTTAAATAATCCCGCAGTTACTTATCAACACTTTGTTCAAAGTAAACCAACTTTCATCGTTTCTTCAATCTTTCTTACATAGTGTGGGGACGTGCATATTTCACTAATTACTAAGTATAGTACTACAAAAATACAATTTTTCTTATAATACAAGTAAACGTAATGAATGATTGATTCAATTTAACAACCAATTTACCTAATTTAACTAAAGATTTTAATGATTCATAAATGTTATTCATTAATTACGCTTTCTAAGAGATAAATGATACCATAGTTTATCTGTACTTCCGTTAAATATATTGAATTAAATAACGATAAAGAAGTGGTTTAACGTTGTTTTATCTCACAGCCGCTCCTTATTGATCTGTCGCCGCTGCAGCATCACTCGGTCCACGGCTGACGGCAAAACATACTGTATCGAAATCGTGTCAATTCTATTATAAAAAGCAATAAAATTATATTCCATGTCTTAATACAAGCGTATAATGACATGATACAACGATACTGACAACTTTATAACGGTAACGCCACTTACGTATAACTGTCGAAAGTGGTCTCTTAATATATAATTATTTCTTTGTTTCAAAGCGTTCTCTTCCTTGTAGTTTATCAGTCATAGATCTACTGATCAAGTGTAGTAATCAGGCATAAGTAGACACTGATTTCAATATCAAATTCTTCACGTCTTCACTTCAGAATATTTAATGTTTTCTTCTCGAGTTACTCCCGAAACAGGAATATTAAGTGAGTCTACGGCGATTTCAGGATGGTGTTCAGAGGACGAGGAGCGGCTGGTCCGCGATCTGTTCCGCGGATACAACAAACTCATTCGACCCGTTCAAAACATGACTCAAAAAGTCGACGTGCGGTTCGGTCTTGCCTTTGTACAACTCATCAACGTCGTATGTATTAAAATTTACTATAATACATACAGTACGTACTACTTATAATACATACATTACTGCAGTTAGTCAAAAACAGACGAATGAGACAGCAATTATTTAATTACAGAACGAAAAAAATCAGATCATGAAGTCGAACGTGTGGCTGCGATTGGTGTGGATGGATTATCAGCTGATGTGGGATGAAGCCGATTACGGTGGTATCGGAGTGCTGAGACTACCGCCTGACAAAGTTTGGAAACCGGATATTGTACTTTTTAACAAGTAAATATTGTGTATAATTCTATAATAAGAGTGGTAAATAAGTAAGCAAGTTACAACGACGGCACTCGAAAACGTGTATACAATAGGAGTACCTAGTCAACTTATAAGGCAATGATAACATAGAGTCTTTCTGTTCATTATAGAAAGGTAAAATAAGAAATACTATAAAAATAAACCTACTAAAATTTATATTTATTGAAGGTTATATTTACATGCTCAAAAAAATTATATACGCAAAGTTATCAATTATCATGAAAATAAATGTTTATCGACTTTTTAAACGAACGGTATGCCTAAGTAATGTACATTCGCTGTAGGTACGTCGTTTGCGTTTTTGTTTTTCGATTTGTACTTACGTACCCATTATCCATTACGTAATTAGTAATTTTATTGTTTTCCTTTTGATTACAGCGCCGACGGAAACTACGAAGTACGGTACAAATCCAACGTCCTAATATACCCTAATGGTGAAGTGCTGTGGGTGCCTCCCGCTATTTACCAGGTGACATACATGTGAAATTAATTAGGATTTACCTTAGTAATAGTAAGAATTTTATCATAGGCAAGAGTTGTTAATTTAATTTAATATTTTATTCATCTTTTCAGAGCTCCTGCACAATCGACGTAACGTATTTCCCCTTCGATCAGCAAACATGCATTATGAAATTTGGCTCGTGGACTTTCAACGGGGATCAAGTATCTCTTGCTTTGTACAACAATAAAAACTTCGTAGACCTATCAGATTATTGGAAATCGGGAACATGGGATATCATAGAGGTACCAGCCTACCTGAACATTTACGAGGGAAATCATCCTACAGAAACGGATATCACATTTTACATCATAATTCGAAGAAAAACTTTGTTCTATACTGTCAACTTGATCTTGCCTACGGTTTTGATCTCATTCCTGTGCGTGTTAGTTTTCTATTTGCCTGCTGAAGCTGGAGAAAAGGTAGTCAGATTTTGATTGTCTTCTTTATGTTCATAACAATGAATGTTAATGTTTACAGCGAATCAATTGCCGCATAATTTTCGTTTCAGGTGACTCTCGGTATCAGCATTTTGCTGTCACTGGTTGTGTTCCTGTTGCTGGTATCAAAAATATTACCACCAACTTCCCTTGTGCTTCCACTTATTGCCAAATACCTTCTCTTCACTTTCATAATGAACACTGTCAGTATCCTTGTCACTGTCATTATCATCAACTGGAACTTCAGAGGCCCGAGAACGCATAGGTATTGAAATATTTACCTAAGTTTTTGTGTACCCAGAAAATAACGTACTTGTCTATAATTCATCTTTCCTAATTACAGAATGCCTTTGTGGATTCGAAGTGTGTTTCTCCACTACTTGCCAGCAGCGCTACTCATGCGCAGACCACGCAAAACGCGCTTGAGGTGGATGATGGAAATGCCAGGAATGGGTGCTCCACCACACGCAGCCGCTCCTCACGACTTGCCGAAACATATTAGGTAACTGCAGATATTGACAGCTGATCAAATCCGGCCCTAAATTTGTAAGTGAACTGGAAATCTAACTTTTCAGCGCCATCGGTACAAAACAAAGCAAAATGGAAGCTATGGAGTTGTCAGATCTGCATCACCCGAACTGTAAGATCAACAGAGCAGCAGGTGGCGGTGGTGAAGTGGGAGCACTCGGAGGTCTCGGTGCTCTCGGCGGACTGGGCCTCGGAGGCGAAAGGCGCGAGTCGGAGAGCTCAGATTCCCTATTGCTGTCTCCAGAAGCAGCTAAAGCAACTGAGGCGGTAGAGTTTATTGCAGAGCATTTGCGAAACGAAGATCTTTACATCCAGGTACGCAAATTTACCAAAAGATAATAATTATATTCGTTTTAAATTTTGAAGATATATATAACATTGAAAACCGGGGTGAAAATAATTGTCCTTTTTACAGACTCGCGAAGACTGGAAGTACGTTGCGATGGTAATCGATAGACTACAATTGTACATCTTCTTCATCGTCACCACTGCGGGGACAGTCGGCATTTTGATGGACGCGCCGCATATTTTTGAGTATGTCGATCAGGACCGCATCATCGAAATATACAGAGGAAAATAAATTAAATATGAATAGTAGTTTGTCTTCTGAACAATCGTATTTCGTTGTTCTCGTTGTCTCTCTCGTATAATCGTGTAAACGTTGCTCGAAATCTAACAATACTTCCGTCAACAGTAGCTTCCATTATACAGTATTATTTTAATGTATTAGACAAAGCTCACTTCTATAGCACATTGCCATGTGAAACTTGATTTGCTCATTTGATTCTACTTTATTATTGCAACAATAATTGCGAGACCTAATATATAAGATTTAAGATGTAGTAGTTAGAATAAATTAAACAATAATTTTTATAGAATTTAAAATGGCTGTGTTCGATGTTTATAAAAGCACATAACAAATAAGACGTAAGTTTGTACTTTTATCAACTACATACTCGTACAGGGTCAAGAGCACGTCAAGCACGACGCTTAAGATTTAAATCCAAGTCTATATACCGCTTACGATAAGAACGGTCCAAAGCACAAAGTGTCAAGCTTGACGTGCTCTTGACTGTACATACTGTAACCAAATCACTAATAAATAATGACGTTAATCATGTAAATAATCATAATTTTAATTAACTGCTTTCATTTAATTTTGTTTATCATATTATTACATATGTGTATACTGTACCTACTAAATCCAGCAGCCCACAATTATTATTAGTGAACGGAATTTAACGAAAATATTTATTATGAGCTCTTATTATTACTGTCAATGTATTGTTTTTATACTTTAATTTACTAATGTAGAAGTAACGCCAAGAATAAATTGATTATGATAATTATATCTTTGGAGTTATTATTATTCATATTATTATACTCTGCGATAGCCATAAAATGAAACATTTTTGTTTTCTTTGTATGTATTTCATAAATTCTTATCAATAGGAAACATTTATTATTCACTAATATTACTTACAATTTTTTTGGGTTTAATACACTGTTTTTCTCATCTATAAATAGAGTGGTTAAAACAGCAGTAACTTATTACAAATATTTTTTTATTTGTCATTTAAATGATAAAAAAGGTTTACTTACACTAAAACTTAATTTACAAAATACATTAACAAGTCTGTGCAGACAAGAATTAATAATTACGTCAGTATAATTATAAAACATGTCTACTACAACAGAAAGAGCCTTCTAAAACAATCTTTATTTAAAAAATATACCTATTTAATAACGTAAAATAAGAAACCAGCTTAATCGTCACTATCTTCATAAGTAGGAGAAGTGGGAGAATAAGTTGGAGAAGTTGGAGAATAGGTAGTGGGACCCGCAGAAGATGGTGAATAGGCAGGGGAAGAGGGAGAATAGTTGGGAGACGTAGGGGTATACGTCGGTGACGTCGGCGAATACTTGGTGGACGATGGAGAATAGCCAGGCGACGATGGGGAGTAATTCGGAGATGATGGTGAATAATTAGGCGAAGAGGGCGAGTAGTGTGTGCTGCCCGGATGCTGAGGCGACGATGGCGAATAGGCCGGGCTAGTAGGCGAGTATTGAGGGCTCGTGGGCGAATATTGCGGACTCGTTGGAGAGTATGTCGGGCTGCCTCCAGCCACAGACGGTGACGTAGGAGAATAGTTGGGCGATGTTGGGGAATATTTTGGTGACGATGGAGAGTAGCTTGGCGACGTCGGAGAATATGCCGGAGATGTCGGCGAATAAGATGGACTCGTTGGAGAATATGCCGGGGAAGTCGGCGTATAATTCGGTGACGACGGCGAGTAACTTGGTGAAGCTGGGCTGTAAACAGGGCTTGTAGGCGAATAGCTCGGAGACGATGGGGAGTAGCCGGGTGAAGTCGGAGAATACGCAGGACTAGTCGGAGAATATGACGGACTAGTCGGAGAATAAGACGGACTCGTGGGAGAATAGCTAGGTGACGTAGGCGAATAGCTAGGGGAAGTGGGTGAATACGCCGGGCTCGTTGGAGAGTAGCTCGGGGAAGTTGGTGAATAACTTGGAGAAGTTGGAGAATACGATGGTGAAGTGGGAGAATAACCTGGTGATGTCGGCGAATAGCTGGGCGACGTAGGAGAATAGATAGGGGACGTCGGTGAATAGTTTGGCGAAGTCGGAGAATAGGAAGGACTTGTCGGGGAATAATGTGGAGAGGTCGGAGTGAGACTCGGCGATGCAGGAGCATACACCGGGCTGGTTGGAGAGTATGAAGGCGAAGCTCCCGCAGGTGAAGCGTAAGGCGACAGTGGAGGCCCAGGCGAACCGGGGGATCCAGGTTGTGGCGACCATGCACTGTAGGCTGGAGACAAGCCAGATGCGTCAGATGCGCCTGATGGCGAAAACGAAGGACCGCCTGGTGTCATACTGCTTCCAACTATAAAATAAAATATGGTATTAGACATAATGAAAACAATATTTCAGATCTTTTAATGCGTAACGGCAATAAGGCCAAATTTCCGTACAAACAAAAACCCACCTTGACCTGGAGACCAAACGCTTTGACCATATCCAGGTGTGTTCTGGTTTGACCACGGCGTCATGAGCGGAGTCATTGACGGAGTACCAACTCCAAAGTACATGCCACCACCGACGCCCATGCCTACGCCAAGGCCTCCCATCTCCATGCCGTGTTTACATTTTTCCGCATCGAGCAGCAAGTCGAAACAGCCTAGAAAAAAATAATAGTACTCAATAAGACTATGAACTGACAGTAATCCTGTTCCGTAATGTTTACAATCACTTTTCTCACCTGTTCCCATTCTCGGTAGTTGTCCCATAATAATGTTTTCAGAAACGCCTCTCATAGGGTCCACTTCAGCGTGACTGGCTGCGTCCAATAACACGTCTACAGTTTCCTCGAAGGAACATCTCATAAGAGCACCGGTGTCCTGTCTGTTGATGCCGTGACGTGTGATAGCCATAAGATGACCTTTGGCTGTCATTACGTCACAAAGCAGCGCGAGGTGACGGTAGTTCACGTATAGACCGTAGAACTGCAATACAGCGTTCATTTCTTTTTCTACAGATTTACGCACAGCTTCTATACCCAGTACTTGAAATATTTCACAAATATCGTTACTGAATGTTCTAACAGGATCGACGTCTCGCTCTGATAGCACTTTCATCAATGAGGTACCATCAGTTTCCAACAACCATTCTGCAATGGCCTTGAATTCTCCCTGTTCAGTAATGATAATGCGTTTCTTGGCTTCTGTCTGAGGTAAATGCATGTACACCTTTGCAATTGCTTCAATACCTTGTAGAGTCATATCAGACAACATGTTAGCCTCAATGCACCTGAGAAACATATCGTCTTCCATTTTATCAACTGTTTCTTCGTCATTGTCTTGGAATTTACTTTCTTCATTATTCATGATTCTAATACGCAATACAAGCTTCTCTGCATTGTCGTCGTTGAAAATACAATTAAGATCATCACCAAAACCAGCATTGATCTTTTCAGCAATTTGTTCCATGGTCAGTTTCTTGTCTGTCATTCTCTTGCGATCTAACTCAATACGCAAGAGCCAAGGAGAAATCTTTGTTGGGTCAAAATCAGGCATTTCATAATAGACATTAACAAATTCCTGATCTTCAGCAATCACGGTATTTTGAGGGTCTGGATCATAATAAATCGCTGTGTTTGCTGTAACTTTACGCAAGGTAGTGTGTTCAAGTCTGCAGAGAACGTTTTTAGCCTTTTCCGCATCTCTGGCTGCACCTCCAGTTAAGAACACGGTAAGTGATGGAGCTTTGGGTTTTTTAGAGATGTTAATGATTTCCTTCAGACGAGGCACACCAAGAGTTACGTTTTTAGAAGACACACCAGCAAAATGGAAAGTGTTCAATGTCATCTGAGTGGCAGGCTCTCCAAGAGACTGAGCCGCCAAAGCTCCCACCATCTCACCGGGGTTTACTTGCGCTTGTTGGAATCGAGTTTCAATTTCTCCAATCAACCATTCAAAGGCTTCACTGGACAGTCTATATTCTTCGGAGACAAATTTAGTGCACAGAGTAGATCTCACTAAACATTGGAACAGCAAAGTAGCGTTTTCGTTTGCTTGTTTCGACAAACGATCTTCGCCAGCAACAATGACGCATTTCTGGAGAAGATCTTTTACACCTTGTATTACTTTGATTGGGCTCAAATCTGTAGGCATTCTTTTGTCAATGTGGAAGATCTTTTGCACATTCCAAATCATCCTTTTGAAGTTGCAAGGCAATACTACTTTGGACTCTCCACTAGGGAAGATTTGACGTAATATTTCTCGATCTTTGCAAAGTTGTTCCCATTCACTTTCAAGGTCAGCAATTACATAACCAGATTCTGTAAGTTCTTTGATGATGTCTTCATTGAAAATCCTCTTTAAATATCTTTCATTTGAAGAATCGAACTTGAACTTCTTCTCAAAAGCTTTGTTTGACAGTTTAACTGTTGGCAAATTTTGGAACTCTACTGTTTCACCAGCCAGGCCATCCTCACCATACCTTAACTGAATCAGTTGTCCCACGGAGTTACGGACAGTTCCGTCATAGTGCACCATTACAGATTCCATAGCCTTTATTAGACGACGTTGAATGTATCCAGTCTCAGCAGTTTTTACGGCGGTATCGATAAGACCTTCGCGACCACCCATAGCATGGAAATAGAATTCAGTAGGTGTCAATCCAGCAAGGTAAGAATTTTCAACAAAACCCCTGGATTCTGGGCCGTAATCATCTTTGATGAAATGGGGCAACGTCCTTTTACGGAAACCGAATGGAATACGTTTACCTTCAACATTCTGTTGCCCCACACAGGCAATAACCTGTGAAATGTTAATGTTTGAGCCTTTAGAACCGGCAACCACCATAGCTTTTAGATTGTTATATTCTGTCAGTGATTTCTTAGCAGATCCACCAGTTTTGTCACGAGCGTCGTTGAGAATACGATTTACTTGGTTTTCGAAGGTCTGCCTCAATGTGTTACCAGGTGTGGGCTCCAACTCCATGTTGTGGGCTTTTTGAATGACTTCTATGACATCATCTTTCGCTTTAACAATAGCGCGCTGAATTTCTGTGTATGTTTGGGGATCAGCAATAGTGTCACCAATTCCAATTGAGTGACCTTCCAAAAGAAGCCAGTTGTTGATTACAGTCTGAATATTACCATAGAACCGACCTGCAGTCTCATGACCCAACTCCAACATGCAAATGTGCAGTAAGGATCCTGCTGAGGCACCAAGCGATTTCTTACATAAAATGCCCATAAGCAACTCTCCATGCTCCACCATAACTTTGGTGTCTCCAGGTGAAATCCACTTGTATGGCCCATCATCTTCTTCATCTGGATGTGTGGAGTGAGTACGAATCATGTTTACATTTCCAGGAATAATGAGGGTAAATATTTGCTTTCCAGTCCACAGAGGTTGAGGTTTTAAAATACATGGCTGTGGGATTTTCCCATCCCAAGTTGGTAAAAACATGAGAAGATTCATGACCTGTTCTTTTGTAAGAAACACATCTCTTTTTGTCATTTTCCTGACTGCTGTCAAAGTGTCTTGCACAATACCCATGACGGGTTTGTTTGCTTGTGGGGTAATAATTTGTCGGGGCGTTATGTGAATGTTTTCAACTTCAGCACGAGTTTCCATAGATTGTGGGACATGGAGATTCATTTCATCACCATCAAAGTCAGCATTATATGGTGAAGTGCAACTCAAATTCATACGGAATGTTGACCATGGAAGTACTTTTACTCTATGACCCATCATACTCATTTTGTGAAGAGTTGGTTGTCGATTGAAAATAACAAGATCGTCATCTCTCAAGTGACGCTCGACTTTGTAACCGTATTGTAAATGCAAATCCGATGGCTTGGGGTGAAATCTTAAATCTATCCTTTCACCATTATCACGCACAATGTATTTAGCGCCAGGGTACTGAGCATTTCCACGACGAACAAGTTCTTGCATTCTATCAATATTGAAGGGTGTCACAAGCTCTGGGAATGTCAAATTTTGGGCAATGGACCTGGGCACTCCTACTTGATCAATACGCAAGTTAGGATCAGGTGTAATTACAGTACGTGCTGAAAAATCAACACGTTTTCCCATAAGGTTTCCTCTGATCCTACCTTCTTTACCTTTGAGGCGAGCTTTTATGGCTTTGAGTGGTTTTCCAGATTTTTGCATAGCTCTGTAAAACAAATAAATTTAAATTAAAAAATTTCTTTAAAATGCATAAAAATGAAACAGCTCCATAATTACTTACTTTGGCATACCAGGCATATCATTATCAACAAATGTGGCAACATGGAACTGCAGTAATCTGATATTTTCTGCAAGTACATGGGCAGCAGCTCCAGACTGTTCATTCCTCATTAATTCATTATTTGCCTTTATTATGTCAGCTAGCTTGTGAGTCAAGTCATCCTGATTTTTGGCTGCACCAAACATGACCACAGCAGGTCTCACTGACAATGGTGGCACAGGCAATACAGTTACAATCATCCAGTCAGGTCTAGCAAATTTGGGGTCCATACCAAGTATAAATGATTCCTCATCTAGAACATGTTAAGACAAATAAAAACTGTGCAATAGCAATATAAACACAAACATGACTGACTTATCAGATAAGGAGTGGATAAACTAGATAATACACTTTCTGAATAAATGAATACACAAAGAATAAAAAAAATAGTAAGGGTCGTATTCTAGAACTCTACTCAATGCTCAAGTCAGGATTTAAGTATGGTTTAAAGCACTCGAAATCATACTCAAGTCCCTGCCATTAGGGTCGTATTTCCAGTGCTTATGTTTCCAGTGCAATCCTGACTTGAGCATTGAGTAGACTTCTGGAATACGACCCTAAAAGACTCAACTAAGCAGTGAGTATTTTGGATTATGTATGTAGTACAGATATTATTGCCATTTGATGACAATACTGCCACGCATCAATAACTACATCAATAATCATTCAATGCTTAATGTCATAATAAAAAACACAAATTCATTTATACCTGTGATATGTTTCAATATTTCCCAAACTCTTTCAGCAGTAATAATGATCTTTTTCTCTTGTGTATCTTCATTGGCATTTTTCCATTCAGCAGTTAAATCCAGTCCTTGTCTCCTAATAGAAGGTTGATAGTGACCACAACCTCCATGACCTGTCCCTTTTTTACCCTCCTCTCCCTCTTTCCCGATATCCATATCTTCACCCCCTTCGCAAATATGTTTACCTTTGCACAAGTCATATACATAAGTCAGTCTTTTACGGGGCTGGCCTTTAGATTTCATGACCACTTCTTTGATCTTTGGATTTGTCTACAAAGAGAAGAAATTGTCAACAAATTGCATGGAAATCGAGTTGGATAAAACTAGTCAAATCTAATCTTACCGGGCTAACAAGCAGTTTCGAACAATAGAAGCAAACACATCTCAAGATCTTAATTGTTTTTGTAATAAAGCCAATGTGAAAGACTGGCTTTGCCAAGTCTATATGGCCAAAGTGTCCAGGGCATTCAGTCATGTTTCCAGCGCAAGTCTGGCATCGTGAGCTCCTGTCAATCACCCCTTGTCGAGGGTCCATAAGCCCCCCGAGCTTAGGTCTCCCACCTTCCATAGTTTCAGGGAAGCGAATGCCCCCTTCAGTGACCGACATACGTCTCTGGAAGACATTACATCAAAATACATAATATGATAAGGACGTTATGTATGTACTAGTATAAAAACACAGGGTTAGAAAGGAAAAGGTAAATCATTGTGAAATAGTGACCCAAATTGACGCTGCACATTTAATAAGTTTATTTTAAATTAATACAACGCAGCTTTACAGCGCCAATTTGTAACGACGCAGCACTGATATGTTATCGAGAACAGTATGCTGACGCTCGGATACTGTGTACGCACAACATAAGAACACAACTGCGTGATACAAAGAATTCATCTGTAAGGTAACGTAGCGGTCTTAATTGCCACAAAATATTTTTGCACTTGAAAATTTATGTCACGATGTTTCTATAAACACAACTTACAATTTCATCTGGTGATATTATTCCAAATTGTACTCTTTTTACTTGGCGCAAAGGCGCCTTCGAATCATTCGTGGTAGCCATTTTGGATGGCTATGAAAGTGTAGCCATAAAAATCCGCTTTATAGTATATAGATAGCATGGTAAGTGTTGCCAGCTATAGAAATGAATGAGTTGCAAATTTAAAAAAATCTAAATTGTACCACACGACGCACATTATCCGGTTGTTCATCGAAACATTCTTGGATAATTCACCAGTTTCATAAAAAAAATTCGTTCTTTAAATTGACCACTCCATCAAACTCAATAAAACCACGTTATCAATTATCTAGGTGTTTTATTGCAAAATCACGTTAATAATAAATATACTTTGGCAGAAAAAAAATCTAGCTTCACAAAATACAAACGTGATGAATTGTGTGATTGATGTTAATTAATACTAGTTACTTTATTACCATATTCATTTAAAAATGCATCTTGAGGTTCATTTTATACTTTACTACTAGAGGAGCTACTTGGGTTGAATTCTAAGAAATCCTTAAGTAGAGTCATACGTCTCTTTTCTGCAATATCCATTTGATTTTCTAAATCACCTCGATCCGTTGTTTCAGCCCTTTCAACCTTCCAAGACAGATTCTCTATTTCTGCTTCTAGTTGAGCCTAAAATATAAAAATAAATAAAATAATAGATAAGTACATTTCTCATAACTTACATAAAAGGATACTGAACTTCTACTCACCTGTTGATATTCAAACAACTCTTTTCTGGGACCAACTTCCATGTAATATGCGTAGGGATAAGTATACTGTAATGTATATCTACAGCGTTTTAGCAACTTCGCTGAATCCCAGAGATATTGCCAATCAATCCAAGTTCCTTCGCCAGCCATTACCTAAGAAAACATTCTTAGTTTATATCAATAAATCTTAGTTTAGTTGAAAATATATCCTTAATAATATCTTATTAATACCTTTTGATTAATTCGACGTTTCAGATTAGCTAACGTTTGTTCTTCCAGTTTTAGAGATCGTGCGTGATTTTCCCATCTTTCATAATAATGCAAATATTTTTTCAAAGCTTCTCGTGCCTGTAAACAAAGTACGAAAGTTATTAACGAAGGAGACAAAGCCAAGAACAAAATCGTCTATGCATACACACAATCAGATAAATGCCAGCCAATGTATCATGTCGATATAGACATTGGAAGTCATTTAACTTATTCTATAGGTATTGACCATGATTTTGTAATTATGATGTCATTCCTGTTATTTTAGTATCAACAATCCTGAACATGAATAATATCAATTATGCCAAACTCTTCAGTAACACAATATAGTTTATGTAAAACATACTTGTGCATGTTGGCTATCATTAGACAAATTAGGATCCTCCTTGTAGCGACTGCACTCATAGTACTCAGATCCATGAGTTTTCCAATCGCCCAGACACACCCAGCAGAAATCATGTCTACATGCACCACATTGCATGTGATTGCAACCACCATTTTTCTCAATGCAAATCTGGCATTTTGGACAATCCTGCAAGCATAAGACATGTTCACATTATCCTTAGTACCTACATTAATTTCACTTCAAGTATATGCAATTAAATCTCAAACTGTGTCTACCGAAAAGACTACACTATTGATGTTCACTGAAACAGGTATATCAACAAAGAAAAACCTGGTTTGATTTGACAATTTGAAACATTCTCATTACAGAAGAACTCTCAACAAACCTTTGTATGAGCACTGATATAATTAGCAGTTTCGGAATCATCAGCGCATTTCGTGAGCCACCGGCGTATGGTGGGGCAATCGGTGGGTGCATGGTGAGGCGCTCCGCATGAGAAACAAGTAAGTGACTCGCAGCCGCGGCACTCTACACGCCGAGCCCCTTCGCGGGTCCACGCCCGAAATATCCACTGAAATGATCTAAAGTTATCCTTGCCTTTTCCTATATAAATAAATACATCCAATAGCCTAAAGAAAATTAAGAAAGAAATTGGAAACTGCAATATGTGTTCTTACTCTCAATTGTTAACAGTTCACACTCCTACAGTAGATAATTTGAAATTGCGATATTTTCCGTACATCTTGATTAAAATGCAGTGTTCACAAAATATATCTATACAAAGAAGTCACTCAATTAATCATAAGAGTTTACATAACATAGCTTAGATTATGATGCACAGGTTCACACATTACTAGTAAAATTGTTAGATTTTGGTAAATTTTTATTATTTTTAAATGGTGGATGAAAGTACAGCCGTACGTTAGCGATGGAACATAGTTTTAGGACGCTACAGTATCAAAATCGTTTGGGAAACTGTGTGCTTTTAACAATTGTAGGTGGACGCGTGACTGTTAACTATATTTTTACAATACATGATTATCATAAAACCATGATATGCTAACTATTCCTATTTATCTAACATTTTCCTTTTCTTGCCTGCCTTTATCTTTAAGGAGTAGGAGGAACATGTTACATAAAATAAGTTTCAAGGTTAATTGGAAATGTTCTAGATATATCTTAGTTGACAAAAATAATACAGACATCTGACATGATGTACTTTTATTGGATTTTAAGACCATTCTATCTCTGTTCTGTTACCTTCAAATACTGAGACATAAACATTGTTTTTGAGTATAATTTTTTAGAAGTAAATTATCACCTGGCAATTAGGTCCTGGACAGAACCTAAGCTGAGGATGTGATTTCACATGGTCCTTGAACATAAATTGCTGGTAACGCTCCCGGAGAGTTGGTTTAGCCACATGAGACAACACAAAGTCTTCAGGTGCCCGCACCTCACAGTCTTGTGCCATACATTGGATTGTATTCGAAACACCTAGGAAAAATAGAAATATACATGAAAATATCACAAAAATGTTGCATGTATTAATTTTAATATTGCAAATATTTAGCACAGTGATAGAGTTCAATTTTGAATGGCGTGTCTTAACAGTCTGTGGCTTACTGAATGTTTATTTAAAAATATAAAAATTAATGTATCATTGATCCCCCCACAAAGCTTTATTATTATTCAGTAAACAAGACACACTCAAGGTTAAAAAGTGAATGAACAATGATATCAAACATTGTGTATATAAAGATTAACATGTGCACTAAAGAGGGCGAGAAATTACCTTGCATAATTTGTACTTCAAAGTGCATAGCCCAACAGTCATTGCAGAAGTAATGTCCGCAAGCAAGTGCACTAAATTTGTGCAGAGGCGGAGTATTAGCACAGACAGCACATGCAACTCTACTGGAGCCAGCCTGCACAGATGCCACGCGAGGCTTCACACGACTGAACACCAGAACCTCGTTTGCATTTTCTTTATACTTATTGATAATCTCTTGAGCATTCCATTCATAGGCATGTAACATCACCTAAAATTACACTTACACATTAGAAAGCTAGGAGACTAGAAATAATATTATTGTTGAGCAATTGTGCAAATAACAAACCTTGGCGAGCGACGGTGTGATCTGAAGGCTATTACTGAGCAATTCTATGGATTCATTCAACAGTTTTTCCACTTCCTCTACTTTCAGACATGAATATATAAAATATTCAGGATCTGCTTTACTTCGATCCACCGTCTCCATATCGCAGTCATCATGTTCTCCGTAGTAATCGTATTCGTCCCCCTCATTGTCTGAATATTCCATATCAGATTCAGCAGACATTTTGTAACTTGAAAATGAGTATCAGGGCAAAATAAACATAAAGCAGGACACTGGAAAATTAAAAAATACTGCGAATGAAATCAAGACTCGTACAATAAAATAGAATATACTACAATTGTCTCCAAAAGTACGTACTTGTTTCGTAAATAAAAATAAATAAAACACTAATCGATGCAATGACGGACAACTACTTGCTACCGTTTTTACTATAAAGATGCCATCATTTTTACGTATTTATTACTTAATGTTAAGTGAACTACATTTACGTTTGATTAGAGTTGTGACAAAAAGCACATTTGAGAAATATGTAGTTTACCAACTAATACCATTGCATTTATGAATATTTCGACCACAAAACTAGTTTGTTTGAGAACAAAGTAGAATAGATTTTGTGTAAGTTATTACCACAAAAATTACTAAATAGTAGAAATATTATTGACAGAGAACACTTTTTCCAACTTACTATTTGAAAAAAAATGTAACTTGTGGTAGTATTAAATAAACGAATACAGACTACTTTAAATTTCACTAATATAATAATCTAACTAGAACCGTCGCTTACAAAACTTTCGGTCTGTTTCCTGACTTCTAAAGAAATAAAGTATCTAAATATCTTTATTTCACGGAATGACAAAATGAATGACCCTTGATCAACCTTTGTCTTTGGCAGAAACGTTTAATTAAAAACAAAAATGTCATTTCAAAGGTCACCTTGGTGAAGTTCAGATTCAAATTTCTAAAAAATTTTGGAATATATTTTGGTGCGTATTTACATATATATTGAATAATAACATGTCATAGTGATTCTGTTCAGTGATATCTTTGTTCTATACTTATGATTTTGTGTTGCGTGACATGTTGTCAGTAATATTTTGTTTATTGTAACCTTTAGGTGTAGGGAACCCTTGTAACCCTCAAAGATGGACGAGACAACAGCTCAAAGGTTCATCGAAAGAGGTTCCCACAAGGGCAAGGGTCTGGCCGTGTTTACAAGCGGTGGTGACTCTCAGGGTATGAACGCCGCTGTGCGATCAGTGGTGCGAATGGGTATTTACTTGGGCTGCAAGGTATATTTTATTCGCGAAGGATACCAAGGAATGGTGGACGGCGGTGACAATATTGAAGAGGCGAACTGGTCCTCGGTCAGTTCCATCATTCACAAAGGAGGAACTGTTATAGGATCAGCCCGTTGCATGGATTTTGTGTGAGTTGCATATACCATTTTTTTAAATAAAAATTGCATAAAATTTACTAGTTATTAAAGCGTAGATTAGCTAAAAGTTGATATAGGCCTATGTATTGAATTAATGTTAGATACATTACCAAAATTTTGTGTAGCAAATCCATTAATTAATTGTGAAACATGTTAGTGAAACAATATTCTAAAGTTTTACCAAAATATGTTTTTTCCTGTCAAAATAATAACACATAATAACACAACAACTTTTTTTAGGCAAAGGGAAGGTCGCATGAAGGCTGCATATAACTTGGTGACACGAGGTATTACAAACTTGGTAGTGATTGGTGGAGATGGTTCCTTGACAGGTGCCAACCTCTTCCGCCAGGAGTGGTCAACCCTTCTTGATGAACTCCTTGAAAACAATAAAATTACCAAAGATCAGAGGGAAAAATATAAGTTTTTGCACATTGCTGGAATGGTAACACCTTCTAGTTATATAACAATTTTATTTAAAAACAACTTTCTACATTGCTAATGAAAGTTTAATCTTTCAGGTGGGTTCCATTGATAATGATTTCTGTGGTACTGACATGACAATTGGCACCGATTCTGCCCTACACCGCATCATTGAGGCCATTGATGCTATTGTCAGTACTGCATATTCTCACCAAAGGACATTTATTATGGAGGTCATGGGCAGGCACTGTGGGTAAGACCATGTATCATTTGTACTGGTTAAAACTACCAATTTAACGTGTGTTTGTCTCTTACAGGTATTGAAATATGCTTCCAATAATATTTCGCGGTCATTCCTGTGATTATTTGTGGATGCCAATTCAATTGTTCATGTATGAAGTGTTAATGCAAATTTGTTGGTTTAGATATCTTGCTCTGGTAACGGCCTTATCGTCTGAAGCAGACTTTGTCTTTATTCCCGAGGCGCCACCTTCGACTGACTGGAAAGAAAAACTATGCTTTAAATTAGAACAGGCAAGCCTAATGCTTTGTTTGTCTGAACCTTCCCCGTGTTCTGTATTCCCAATGTGTTCTGAAAAACACTTTCTATCACTTTACAATACCCTTCAAACTCGTACTTTTTTAGTTTTCTTGCAGTATACACCGCCCTGTGTACGGATGCTACTTATAGCTTTATTTGCGAAGACCCAGCGCCTCTCAATTGGGAAACAAAGTTGTGTGCAAAGATAGCAGAGGCAAGGATTTTAGATCTTATTAACTTATAAATATGGGAGCAGGATCACTTACACATCTATGTCTTGTCCATTTTATTACACTTTATACGACTTCATTCTTTGAATTGGCAAATCCCATTGGCAATGTACTGACAAATTTATTTATTAATGTCTAAATTCTCATCTTGTTACCTATCCTTGGAGGATTCCACATGCATGATCCATACGCGGGTGCTGCTTGTTGCAGTTATCTGGCATTAGTGGCCGCTCTGGCGAGCGAGGCTGACGCCGTATTCATTCCCGAGGACCCTGTTCCCAATAATTGGGTTGAAAAGCTTTGCAAAAGATTACACCAGGTAGGCTGATTGAGTGGCACTGTAAACTTATAACACACAATCATATGTTATCAATGAGATGTAAGGCTAAATTGTAGATATGAAAATTAGTTTCGCCGACACGCTTGTGCAAGTTGAGGACAATTGTAACACTTGTTGTTATTATATGTGATTGATGCAATTGATATTTATTATTCTAGGGTGTTGATCGCACGGCCAGTGCCAGTTCATAATGCTTAAGCTTTGGTTGTGTGTTGTTGGTGCAAATGTTTTGGGCTTTATTACTCTGTCCTCTATATTTTACTTTGGTACATCCTGCTATTGACATACTCCTTGTATGCTCTTATTAATGCTGTTTGGTTTTTCTGCATGATATATATGTATATATATATACATGGGTAGGGGAATGCCCTTGTGAACAGATATTTAACCTTGTGCTTGAAAAACAATTTCATAAAGACAGTTCAGGTTGAAATAGTTCTGTGAAAAGACAATTTTTATTATACAAGATGATAAAAAGAATCCTATTTATTTTAAGGGAGCTTGGTCAGTAATAAAAATAATAATACATCAGATTTTTTTTAAATATTTAACAGATAAATAAGATGTATTAGAACTATCCCTAAAATACCGAGTTTGCGGCTACACAGCTGTGATGTGACAGCAACTTGGCTGTGGGTCAGCCTCCTCCATAAATTATTTATTCTAAATTACTACTTATTTGTAATAATTTGGTTTGAAATTTTTCATTTGTATATTGATCATTCAAGTACATATATTGATGGACTTTCTGTTCAAAACCAAAAGTATTTACTATATCGCCTTGTTTGTTTACCTACTATACTATACTGTATAGTCGAGGATTCCGGACGTGAGTTGATTTACAAATTAAAATAAAGGATTTCGATAATGATATTTATTTATTTCATACATACATCTATTTTTACAGGCTAAACCTAATACAATAGTGTAGCATATCAAAGACATGAATAATTACTAAACATAACTTCCTCGTAATATAACACGCCTCTTATGTTTATAATAGTACTTTGTTCAATAGCGCTTGCGTAATGAGTGCATTAACCAAGCCTAATTATATTGTCATTTGTTCGAAATACAGGAACGAAAATCGGGTCAGCGATTAAACATCATCATTGTAGCAGAAGGTGCCATCGATCGAGAAGGAAAACCAATTACGGCTGAACTCGTGAAGAAGGTGGTGGTGGACAAACTTCAACAGGATACACGTATCACTGTACTCGGCCACGTGCAAAGGGGTGGCGCACCTTCTGCATTCGATCGTATTCTGGTGAGATTTTTCTAACTGAATGCCATTAATTTAAAAAAGAATAAGCTTAACACAGGCAATTTACGACCTCGTAGTAGTAGGTGTTAGTGCATCAGAAGATGCTGGTTTGGAGTTCTCAAAGAATGAACAACATACAATAAGATGAAGTACAATGTCAAACTTAAGTTACAACGATAGGACGACCTCGGTGGTTGAGTGGCTTGTGCACCGGTTTTCTAGTGTCGCCATTTCTGAGATCCCGGGTTCGATCCGAGTCAATGTAGAAAACTAACTTTTTTGTACTGTTTCGAATCTGGGTGTTTGTGGTATTGTCGTTGTTTTTTATTTCCATAACACAAGTGCTTTAGTTACTTACTTTGGGATCAGAGAGTAATATTTATATAAAATAGTATTCTTCTTTTCGATTTTCGTTAGACATAAGTAGGTGTGAACGTTTACAAATGTTTTTGTGAAGCTATAAGTATTAAGTACTTTTAACATTTTGCAATATCCTAGCCCACCAAAGGCTTCAAACTTTAAGCCTACGCCTAGCGAGGAATGCACGGGGTGCGAGATGGTCGGCTACTTCTCGCCGGTTGAGTCGACGCTGTGGGGTCGGTGAACATTCACCACGACGCCGCCCGGCCGCCCTAGCTTGCGCCAGGGCTCCCGCGCCAACGAAAGGGCGGGTCGGTTGTCCTCCGACCCTAGACGAGTGAGTCCGTGCAATGCAGGCTCCGGAGTCCCTGTCCAGAGCCCGCTGGCCTCACTAGGGGATCAGGCGAGCAGCGAACTGCCTTCGCCTTCTTCCCGTACGTTTGCGCCGAACCGGATGCGCTTCCGCCGCGTCCTCGCGCACCCGCTCCGCGGCCTCCTTTTGCGACATAACCTCTCCATAAAAGGAGGCCATCGCCTCCCAGAACTCCTACCGTGCATGGCGGCTACCACGCCCGGCAGCGAGAGGTCCTGCCCCATTGTCCCCGTCAGAGTACGGCGCTGCTCATCCCACCGGCTGCACACCTCTAGGGTGTGCTGCGCGGTGTCATCCGCACTCATGGCACGACGGGGACGATTCCCTCCTCGCCACCTTGTGCAGGTAGTGACCGAAGCAGCCGTGCCCGGTCAACACCTGCACAAGGTGGTAAGACAGTGGCTCGTGGGACCGGTTCACCCACCCTGAACAGGGCGGATCGCCCCTATGGTACGAGCTCCATAGGGGCGATTCTCGGCCGTCCCTGCCGTCTATTTCCATCCTCGGGAACCCAAGGAGTAACGATATTCGCACACTTCCCGGGTTGCAACCGGCTAACGTGGCCCGCCCAATCCCATTTGAGCCTGGCTGCTTTGCTCCCCAAATCAGCAAATCAGCAATACCAGTCATCGAACGCAGCATTGCATTGCGCACTCGGTCAATACGTTTAAAGCCCAAAGTGCTGCGTTCCATCGCCCTCTGACAATTCTTGAGTTTAGACTTCTGGAACTCGGTCAGCGACCATGTCTGCACCGTAGGCGTAAGTTAGAATGGGCAGGATGCACATGCAATGAAATATATTAAATTTAAATGTTTACGTGAAGGGTTGTCGCATGGGTGCCGAGGCGGTGATGGCTTTAATGGAGGCGACGCCCGATACAGAGCCGTGTGTGGTGTCCCTGGACGGCAACCAGGCCATCCGTTTGCCGCTCATGGAGTGTGTACGCCGCACAAAGGCTGTTGCACAGGTATTTTTCTTTCATATCAATCTACCTATTGTATAATTGTTCCTGAAAGTGACCAATTAATAGCTGTTCATATTCATTTATTGCGCATTGACCATAGAACCATCAGCTTAAAAAGGTTACAAATAATAAAGAACCTCAAAACGTAATATACTTAAACTAAAAATCAATTCGTGTAAAAACTGTAACTCGCCATTTTCAATCCATTAATAGCCGTTCAACCCATCGCACATTATGCGTGGTACTTGAAATGTAGCCTTTTTTATTTCATGGATCGTGATTCATGGGAACAATAGACACTAAATTTTGCTATAAGCAGAATGGGTTAGGGTCTCAGCTTACACTGGGAAATGTGTAAGCGATGATGGGAAATGTGTAACCGACGATGAGGCCGTGCGTATTAGTTTGCACTGCACACTGAATTAAACATCTTTCAGGCCATGGCCGACAAAAACTGGGACTTGGCAGTGCAACTGCGCGGGCGCAGCTTTGCACGAAATTTAGAAACTTACAAGATGCTCACACGTTTGAAGCCACCGAAGGAGGCCTTCAACGAGTCCGGGAAACCATCGGTGAGTTTTTTCTTTTTACAATGTAATCGCATCTTTGTCTTTTATAAATATGTTTATTGATTTATA